CCGGCGATCCTTCTGCCTCAGCCTTCCACGTAGCTGGAACTACAGGCGCGCGCTACCACGCCCAGCTAATTTTTTTGATTTATTGTAGAGATGAGGTCTCACCAAGTTGCCCAGGCAGGTCTCGAACCCACGGGCTCAGGCAATTCATTCACCTTGTCCTCCCAAAGTGCAGGATTACAGGCTGAGCCACCGAGCCTGGCCCCAAATTTTCTTTATGTCTTTGTGTCTGTGTCTTTCTTAATCTCTCGTCACTCACTCTCAAAACAACCACACAGGCCGCGGCACTCAGTCTCCCATATCCACACAGTAAGCTGTGCGTGACCCTGTCCCTTGTTGCAGACACCCTGTGGTGATGTCTGATAAGATTTGATCTGGTCAGTTTCCTGAGCATTAGTGACATTGTCAAGTCAAGCTGTATTTCCCTGAAGGCTCCACAATCCCCAGAAAATGTTTTTCAGTTCAACAAAAGCACTGAACAACAAAACTGAACACTCATGCAGCCCAAGTTTTTTGAGCTCCTGCTGCTGTGCATTTCCTCACAGAATCTCCCTCGTGGTCTTCTACCACCCTGGGCCAAGCTGTAGGGTTCCACAGACATGTACCTGCTCCATCCTTGATGTGGTGACTCAGGCCAGAGCCAAGTGGTATCACCTCAGAGGCAAGGTAGTCATAGCCCTGCAGGTAACAAGACCCAGGGGTCAGGAGACTTACTTTGGACTCTGGTCACCCAGAGAGACCCTCCTTGCCCCTTGGTTTATTGAGTCTCCTTGTTTGCCAATCAATGGGGCCAGATAAAATGGGCCCCAAAACACCCTAGCATCCCTTCTTGGCCCTGATCCTGTGACCTGGATGACTAAATATTTATGGGTGAGACCAGGCCCAGTGGCTCATGCCTGTAATCCTAACACTTTGGAAGACTGAGGCAGGAGAATCGCTTGAGGCCCGGAATTAGAGACAAGTCTGGACAACATAGTGAGACCCTGTCTATACAAAAACATTTTTTAAAAACTAGCTGGTCATGACAGAAAGCTATTCAGGAGGTTGAGGTGGGGAAGATACTTAAAGTCAAGAGTTCAAGATCAGCCTGGGCAACATAGCAAGATCCCATCTCTAAAAGAAAAAAGATAGCTGGATGTGGTGTCACACGCCTGCATCCCTGGTTACTCAGGAGGCTGGGGCAGGAGTTCAAGGCTGCAATGAGCTATGATCACACCACTGCACTCCAGCCCGGGAGCTAGACCCTATCTCCAAAACAATTATTTAGGAGGGAATGTTCAGTGAGCACAGACTGAGACAATTCCAGACAGCAAATACTGTAGAATTTAATACCAGCCATGTAGAGAGTTCATTCTGTGAGCCAAGACAGTGCAGGAGGATGAAGTTTCCAGGGAACTCTAGATCCAAGCAGGCAGGGCAGAAGAGATGCATGGTAATGGACAGGGAAAGATGTTTTGGAAGTAAGACTGACAGTGGCGTTGGCAACAGGCTGGGAGTAATGGGCAGGAATTTTGTTTCTGGCACAAGGCAGTGGGAGCAAAGAGGCAGAGAGAAGAACATGCTAGATGTATGTTAGAAACGGGAGAGTTGGACTGGGTTGGAGGGAAGTGGGGGTGGGGAAGGAGGAACACTGCCCTGGGCATCACCTGGTGTGGTGGCTGGTGGCACAGCTCCCTGTTGTCTTCCTCCTTTCCCAGCTCCTCAAGCTGGGCACCGGCCTCCTGGAGAGTGGGCGTCATTACCTTGCTGCCAGCCGTGCCTTCATTGTCGGCATTTGTGACCTGGCCCGCCTGGGTCCACCAGAACCCATGATGGCGGTATGCGGAGGGTCTGAACCTGGGTGGATGGGCATCTGGGATGAGGAGATAATGATGAGAAAGAGGGAGACTGAACTGGGGTCTGCAGGTTCCAGACTGGTGCAGTGCTAGGCTGCCATTCAAAACAGCTGTAGCAGGCTGAGTCTCAAGTCGGGAGGGCCCTGAATCCCGCACCTGGTACCCTCTCTGTGTCTCTTCTTGCCTAGGAGTGTCTGGACAAATTCACTGTGAGCCTGAGCCACAAGCTGGACAGCCACGTGGTGAGTGGGGGAAGATAGGGCTGGGTGGGGGATGGGGGCAAGGTGGTCTGTGGTCCTGACCCCCATCTGCTAACTTCTGCTTCCCTCAGGAGCTTCTAGATGCCATCCAACACACGCTGCAGCAACAAATCCAGACCCTGGTCAAGGAGTGAGATGGGAGGGAAGGGGGCCTTATTTCCCAGAAACCAGTCACCCTGTCCTCTTCCCCTTACCATAGGGGTCTCCCTAATGAAGGAGTTGTGAGGCTGGGGGGTTCTGGTGGCCCACTTCTATTCCTCCATCCCAAGGATCCCCCTGGATTTCTGACTGTCATAGGCTAACTCAAAAGACGCTTGCAGGCCTCTGCTGGGAGTAGGTGGGTGTTATATATGATTCCATGTTATCTCCCCATCCCTAGAGGTCTCCGGGGGTTCCGAGAGGCACGCCGTGATTTCTGGCGGGGGGCTGAGAGCTTGGAGGCTGCTCTTATCCACAATGCAGAGGTCCCCAGGCGCCGGGCCCAGGAGGCAGAAGAGGCAGGAGCTGCTTTGAGGACTGCTCGAGCTGCGTACCGGGGACGGGCATTGGATTATGCCCTGCAGGTGCCTGCCCCAATTTGTCTTCTTGGGGTACCAGGGCATGAGGTGTCACCTGGGTGCTGGGGAGTCCCCAGTGTGCAGTGGGAGTGTGTATTATGTTTTCAAGACTGACCTGGGGTCTTTTTGGATCCTCAGGTCAATGTGATTGAGGACAAGAGGAAGTTTGACATCATGGAGTTTGTGAGTTGTGGTTGTGACGAGGGTAAGGTGGAGAGGAGCCTGAGACAGCACATAGGAAGAGGGAGGGAAGGGTTCTTGTTCAGTCTCTCCCCCTGCCCACCTTGGTCCCCAGGTGCTGCGTTTGGTGGAGGCCCAGGCTACCCATTTCCAGCAGGGCCATGAGGAGCTGAGCCAGCTGGCCCAGTATCGCAAAGATCTGGGTGCCCAGGTAGGACCCGAGGGAACAGGCAGGCAGCGGAGGGAGGTTAGGGGGCTCTAAGATGACTCTCCTGGCCTAGTTGGGGGGCTTGGACTCTGAGATGTCCTTTCTGTGTCCAGTTGCACCAACTGGTCTTGAATTCAGCTCGAGAAAAGAGGGACATGGAGCAGAGACATGTGCTACTGAAACAGAAGGTGAGGGCTGTGCTGTGAGCATGAGGCAGACGGACCTGTGGCCTTGGTCTCTGCCCACCTCAATCACCCTTTCACCCTCTTGTGCCTCTAGGAGCTGGGTGGAGAGGAACCAGAGCCGAGCCTAAGGGAGGGCCCTAGTGGCCTGGTCATGGAAGGTCATCTCTTCAAACGGGCCAGCAATGCATTTAAGACCTGGAGCAGGTGGTACACCCCAACCAGTCAAACCTACTCACCCAATTAAGTATTTTTGAGTGGTTATAGTGTGCTAAGCACAGCAAGGACAAACAAACAAAACCCCCACCTTTGTAGAGCTTACATTCCATCAGCAAAGACAACTAACATAATACTTGTAACTTACGTGTTATGTTAGAAGATAATAGTGCCAAAAGAGAAAAGTAATAAAGCAAGAGATATGAAGAGTGGGGTAGGGGTTACAATTTTTTTTTTTTTTTGAGTCACGGTTTCACTTTGTCATCCAGGCTGGAGTGTAGTGGCATGATCACGGATCACCACAACCTTGACTTTCTGGCCTCAGGTGATCCTTCTACCTCAGCCTCTCAAGTAGCTGGGACTACAGGCGTGTACCACCATGCCCGGCTAACTTTTTGACTTTTTTGGTACAGACGGGAGCTCACTATGTTGCCCAGGAGTCTAGAACTCCTGGGCTCAAGCAACCCTCCCACCTCATCCTCCCAAAGTGCTGGAATCACAGGTGTCAGCCACTGTGCCCAGCCTGCAATTTGAAATAGTGGGTCAAGGCAGGTTTTGTGAGAAGGTAACTTTTGAACAAAGGTTTGAAGGATATCAGAAGGAACAATGTTCTGAGAAGGAAGAGCCAGCGCCAGGGCCCTGAGATAGCTGGGGTGTTGGAAGAACAGAGGAGGCGGCCATGGGTCTGGACACAGTGAGGGAGGAGGAAGTGATAGGAGATGAAATTGTAGCTAATAGGGGTGTGAAGAGTTATAGGGCCCTGTAGACTTCTGTGGAGACTTGGGGTCTACACTGAGGTCAATAGGAAACCACTAATGGGGTTTGGAGCGGGATGGCCACATGCTCTGACTCCTGCTTCCTCTTCCAAGGCCACTGCCAGCCCATATGGGATCTTTGTGCAGTTAGAAAACAGAGCCACAGGCCGGGTGCGGTGGCTCAAGCCTGTAATCCCAGCACTTTGGGAGGCCGAGGTGAGAGAATTGCCTGAGCCCACGGGTTCCAGACCAGCCTGGGCAACTTGGTGAGACCTCATCTCTACAATAAACCAAAAAAGTAACTCGGCATGGTGGCGCATGCCTGTAATTCCAGCTATTTGGCAGGTTGAGGCAGAAGGATTGCCTGAGCCCAGCAGGTCAAGGCTGCAGTGGCCGGGAGCATGCCACTGCCCTCTAGCCTGGGCAACAGAGTAAGACTCCAACCCCATAAAAAACAAAAAAGAAAGAAAAAGAAAACGAAGCCACTTCCCAACATTACTTTTTTCAAAAATTGTAGCCATAAACATTTTATTAAAAAGAATTTTACTGCCATCTGCTGGAATGTTGACTTCATAAATATATCAATCTGGGTTACCCAAGATGTGAATAGCACCCCAGAGATGTCCCAGTCCGCACAACCATTTATCCTTCTCTGGAAGGTCTCACAGGACAGTCAGTTTAGGTCTCCTTTCAGTAAGATCTTTTTTTTAGCCGGGCTCGGTGGCTCAGCCTGTAATCCCGTGCTTTGGGAGGCCGAGGTGAGTGACTGCCTGAGCCCATGGGTTCGGGACCCGCCTGGGCAACTTGGCAAGACCTCATTCTCTACAATAAATCAAAAATGAGCCGGGCGTGGTAGCGCGCGCCTGTAGTTCCAGCTACTTGGAAGGCTGAGGCGGGAGGATCGCCGGAGCCCAGCAGGTCCAGGCTGCGGTGGCCGGGAGCAGCCACTGCACTCCAGTCTGGGCGACTGAGTGAGACTTTCAACTCAAAAAAAATAAAGATCTTTTTTGATTTATTGTAGAGAATGAGGTCTTGCCAAGTTGCCCAGGCGGGTCCCGAACCCATGGGCTCAGGCAGTCACTCACCTCGGCCTCCCAAAGCACGGGATTACAGGCTGAGTCACCGAGCCCGGCTCTCTCAGTAAGGTCTTTATGGGCAAAGAGCATAACCTCTTTCCTGACCTTGTCTCTGTCCCAAGCCTCATCCCAAAGCTGCCCAGATCCATATCTATTTCCACCTCTTACAGACGCTGGTTTACCATTCAGAGCAACCAACTGGTTTATCAGAAGAAGTACAAGGTGAGCAGACCCAGGTCCTAGATGCCTGGGCCCTAGGGACATAGCTCTTGCCTGTGGCTGGACGTCTGCCCCCTTATTGCCTTCTCCTGCCAGGACCCTGTGACTGTGGTGGTGGATGACCTTCGCCTCTGCACAGTGAAGCTCTGCCCTGACTCAGAAAGACGGTTCTGTTTTGAGGTGGTGTCCACCAGCAAGTGAGTGCAGTCCCTAGGGTGATACTCTAATATATCTAAATATTTACCAACCTGAAAGGGGGATTGGTGGCTGGATTGGGGGAGGTTGTCCAGGGGGATGGTTTAGTGTGATGGGGGATACTAGGGTGGATATTTCCACTTGGAACAGAAGTATTCAGTGCAACTGGAACTGGTTGAATACTAGCTGGATGTCAGCCCGCCTATCCTGCCACCTTGCTGTCAGGCTCAGACCCCTCTGCCTTCTCCCTGATCCCTCCTACACAGGTCCTGTCTCCTCCAGGCTGACTCAGAGCGCCTTCTGCAGCTGTGGGTCAGTACTGTACAGAGCAGCATCGCCTCTGCCTTCAGCCAGGCTCGCCTTGATGACAGCCCCCGGGGTCCAGGCCAGGTACCCTAACATGGGGGCAGGGCCAGGAGATGGGGCACCCCTAACCCTAGTTCCCTTGGCCACCATATTTCTCCCATCTCCCCCAGAGCTCAGGACACCTGGCCGTAGGCTCCGCTGCCACCCTGGGCTGTGGCGGGACAGCCAAGGGAAGGGAGCCTGGGGGAGTTGGGCACGTGGCAGCCCAGGTACAGAGTGTGGATGGCAATGCCCAATGCTGCGACTGCCGGGAGCCAGCCCCGGAGTGGGCCAGCATCAACCTTGGCGTCACCCTCTGCATTCAGTGTTCCGGCATCCATAGGTACTCCCCAAGGCCCCAAGCATGAGCCCACTTCTTCTAGCTGCAGTGTGGCCCCCAAGATACAGCCCATCACAGATCTCTCTTTTCCCACCCTGCCCTGTCTTCCTCTCTTCGATTTTGGATTTGTCACTGGGCATCAGGCCTGGGCCAGGGCCTGGGGGGTACAAGGTGAACCCAGGTGGGCCCAGCCCCTCAATGTCCTGGTCTGGCCAAAACTGAGGGATACCCAGAGGAGTTTATGGGATTAGTTGGAAGAAGTGTGGGGTTAGGGCTACTCAGGGTAGGGGAGCCAGCGAAGACCAGATAGAGAAGAGGTCACAAGGCCTTAGCACGTCTATAAGGCCCTTACAGCCAGCCAGTGTAGTGGAAAGAGGGAGAGCATGGGAAGCACGGTCCGTGCCAAAATGTCATGAGAGAAGGGAGGTGGCTGGAGCAGATGAGGGAAGAAGGAAGAAGGAATGGTGAGTAGACAGGATCCTGCCAGACCGGGTCAAGGCTACATGGCCCCAGCTGCCCTCGTCCTGGCCCAGCTTCTCTGCAGGGACCCCCTGTGCACAACTGGCCTCTGAGTCCCTTTAGGGACAGCAGCAGCCCCCCCAGGCACCTGTCCCACAGAGGGCCTGATTCCCCTCTGGCCCTCCAGGAGCCTTGGTGTTCATTTCTCCAAAGTCCGGTCTCTGACCCTCGACTCGTGGGAGCCAGAACTAGTGAAGGTAACTTGGGCTACTGTGAGGATTGGGGGTGAAGACAGAGGACTGAAGAACCCTGCAGACTCAGACACCCACTCCCTATCCTCCCTGTCTGTCTCTGCCTCTGCCTGGGCCTCCCAAAGCTTATGTGTGAGCTGGGAAATGTCGTCATCAATCAGATCTATGAGGCCCGCGTGGAGGCCATGGCAATGAAGAAGCCAGGGCCCAGCTCCTCCCGGTGAGGTTGGGATGGTGGTACCTGGGTCCCCCCTCCTCCATGTGGACAGAGGGATGGGGATCTAGGATGGGAACAGGGAACCCTGTCCCCTTCTCTCCCTCCCCTAGGCAGGAGAAGGAGGCTTGGATTCATGCAAAATATGTGGAGAAGAAGTTCCTGACCAAGCTTCCTGAAATTCGAGGGCGAAGAGGTGGCCGGGGGCCTCCAAGGGGGCTACCTCCTGTGCCCCCAAAGCCTTCCATCAGGACCCAGCCAGGAAGCTTCAGATCCAAGCCAGGTATAGGGTTGTTGGGCATTCATTGTCCTTTAGGGAGACACAGAGTATGAGGCCCAGACCTTCCCTTTGAGAACGTTGGAGGGACCAGGCTACAGTTTCAGGGGGTTACAGTGGAGTGTGACACAAGAATGGGAAGGAGCATGGGACTGGGAGTGGGCAGGAAGGGCTAGGTAAGGGATATCAACAGCTTGAGAAAAGGCAAGGGCAGGAATGAACTTGGTTGGGATCTCCAAAGGCCTGGGGAGGAGGGTGTGGGTTTACCTGGAGCAGCGGGAGTCAACAGCTAAAGCCCAGTGTCAGGGAGAGTCAGTCACCTGTGACATCCCAGCCAGTTGGGGTGGTTGGACCAGATGAGAAATGATGCTATCTGTCCCCTGTACCCCTGAGGCCCCCACACATACATATTCATACTTACATGTAGCCACACCCATGTCACTCCATCTCCCACCACCACAGTCTCAAGTCACAAAGGCCTCCTCACAACTCAGAAGAGACCCATCCCATTACAGCATAAGGAGGCTGTGCTAAGGGTTTTCCTCCCAGACTCAGAGCTGATTCCACCTAATAGAACTCCCCCAACAGAGCCCTCATCTGATAACCTGGGAAGCCTGCATCCTGGGGCCTTGCTGTTCCGAGCTGCTGGGCATCCTCCATCCCTTCCCATCATGGCTGATGCCCTTGCCCATGGAGCTGATGTCAACTGGATCAATGGGGGTCAGGAGAATGCAACGCCGCTGATCCAGGCCACAGCTGCTGTGAGAGCCCTGCTGGCTTCCCCACCCCACCCTAAGGCTCCTTCTGTTACCTACTCCTGACTTTGGATAAGCAATATAGACTGGTTGCTAAGAATGCGTGTGATTTGAAGGCAGAGAACTTGAGTTTGAATCCAAGCTCTCACCACTTACAGGAGACATCTAACAAGCCATTAACTTCTCTGTGCCTCAGTCTCCTCATCTGTAAAATAGGGATAGCATACCTCATAAGCTTGTACCATGGGTTTAATATATGAATACATGTGAAGAGCTAGAGCCAAACCTGTAACTCCCCCCCCCACTCCTGATTACCATACTCCAACCTGCCACCCTCTGAACTAACACCTACCCTAAAACATTTTGAAATTCGCCTCTAAAAATCCTGCCCTCAGTCCCCCTTCTCGATTTTTCCATGCAGAATTCTCTTCTGGCCTGTGAATTTCTCCTCCAGAATGGGGCAAACGTGAATCAAGTGGACAGTGCGGGCCGGGGCCCACTCCACCACGCAACCATCCTTGGCCACACCGGGTAGGGACGACAGGGATGATGGCCTTGGGGAGGAAGGCTCCGGAGGGGGTGAACAGCTGGCTGAACTTGACTATCTTCTCCAGACTCGCCTGCCTGTTCCTGAAACGCGGGGCTGATCTAGGGGCTCGGGACTCTGAAGGCAGGGAACCTTTGACCATCGCCATGGAAACAGCCAACGCTGACATCGTCACCCTGTGAGAATGCCTGAAGTGATGGGGTTAGCCACTGGGCAGGGCTCATGCCAAAACTGGAGCTTGCAAGGTGGGGAGGGGCGAGGCCGACACTGGAGCCAGCCCAGAGAAAGGATGCTCCAAGAGTGGATAGGGTTGTGAAGTTAGAAGGTGGGTGGTCAGGGTCTGAGGATGAGTTCCTCCTGAGAGGCATCATGCAAGAATCATCGTTGTTAGGCACCTTTTAAGCACTAGACCCTAGGGAGACAGATGAATGAAATACAACCCAGCTCAAAGGCTAGGGAGTTAGTGGCTGGTCCCAATGCAGTGATGTTTACAACTCATTGATCATGGCCAGTTACAGATTTCATTGCTCCTTCTCCACCGGGCATGGTGGCTCACACCTGTAATCATAGTACTTTGGGAGGCTGAGATAAGAGGATCGCTTGGGCCCAGGAGTTCGAGACCATCCTCGACAACACATAGAGATCCTGTCTCTTTAAAAAATGCTTTGAAAAAAATTAGTGGGAGCTATTGGTCTGTCCCTGTAGTCCCAGCTACATCGGAGGAGGCAGGAGAATCCCTTGAGTCTAGGAGTTCGAGGCTGCCGTGAACTATGATTGGGCCACTACACTCCCACCTGGGCAACAGAGGAAGACCCTGTTTCTTTTTTTTTTTTGAGTTGAAGTCTCACTCTGTCACCCAGACTGGAGTGCAG